TTGATCGATGGCGGTGGTGGAGATGTTGATGGCGATGTGCTTGTGCATGTGCATGTGCGCATGCGCGGACGTTCTCATGTGCATGTGTTCATGTGCGCACATGCATGTGTGTCAACATGTGTTTGCATGCCAAGTGTCATCAGTTGTTATTGCTGCAGTGCTTCCTCGATGCACATCGTCTCCTTCCATCACATCACCTTGCCACCACAATGCACCCCCACCACCATCACCACAATGCACCATCATCATCACCATCATCATCATCATCATCATCATCATCATCATCACCATCACCATCATCATCACCACCACCATCATCACCACCACCATCACCACCACCACCACCACCATCACCATTCCACAATGCTCCACGTCCACAAACAGTGGTCTTGGTGCCCTCAACCTGTACCTGAAGAACCCAACGCAGTACAAGACCGTGTCCGCTTTCTCTCCCATCTGCAATCCGATCAATTGCGCCTGGGGCCAGAAGGCGTTCCGTGGCTACCTCGGTGACGACGAGGCAACGTGGCAGGTGCGTTTGCCCGGAATGCGTGTGTTGTCGGGGCTTGGTTGGTTTGTTGCGCGTGTTTGTTTGTTTGTTTGTTTGTTTGTTTATTTGTTTATGCGGTGTTGTGTGTATGTGTGATGGATTTGCGTTCCAGTGTTTGTGCTTGTTGTTTAAGCGTTGTTGTGCGACCATAGATGAGGGCATTTACCCTGTTTCTCACTCCCTTGTGCGTGCGTGTGTGTGCGTGTGTGTGCAGGCGTGGGATCCATGCATGCTTCTCTCGCAGACGGACTTGGACGCTCTGCCAGAAATACTCATTTCACAGGTGAGCGCGACGTTGTGGATGTGGCCTGTTGGTCCAATGATGGCGTTGAAGATGATGGTGGTACATACTGTAGTACGTTTCTTCGTAGTCGCTTGTGGCGCTTTCGTCGTTGTTGCTGGCATTGTTTCACACGTGTACTGAGAGAGATGGATGGTCACGCACATACACAGACACACACACACACAGACACACACACACACACACACAGACACACATCTTGATTTCCTCACTGTCTCGCGTCATCTTCATCCCTCACCAATCCACCATCACCATGATCATCAGGGTCTGGCTGACGAGTTTCTCGAGTCGCAGCTGCGCCCGTCGTCGCTGCCAAAGCACAAGAACATCCGGCTGGAGATGCACGAGGGATACGACCACAGGTGTGTGTGTGTGCGTGTGTGTGTGTGTGTGTGTACCCATTTGTCAAAAATGCCTTGCTTGCTTTCCACTGAATCCTTTTCTCATCTCTTCTTCACATATGGGTTTCCAATTGCAGCTACTACTTCATTGCGTCGTTCATTGAGCAGCACATCAAACACCACGCAGCCGCGCTCACCCGCTAAGTGCACACACGCACACGCACACACACACTCGCATACACACTCGCATACACGCACACACACGTCATGGTTGTTGCGTGCGTTGGCGAGACAAGTGTTGGTTCGTTGTCAAACGCATCCACTAAACGAATGAGCAAAGCAATGATGGTGGCATGACGCATTCTGACACCAACAGCACCAGCACGAAATGTACACAAGAAGCGAGACAAGCAGTGATGGCACGCAATCGCGCACGCGTGACACATGCAGATGCAATCAAACAAGGCAAGGGCATGACGGCAAGAGAAAGAGAGAGAAAGGGGAGGGGGGGGCGTATACATTGTGTGTACAGAAAGACAACGGGCGTTGTGTGTGTGTGTGTATGTGTGAATGTGCATGTGTGTGCGTGGGATTGCATCATGCCGCTTTTGTAAACTGGTCGTCGTCTTCGGCCTCGTCCATGCGCGAAAAGAAGTCTGATAACAAGAAGGGGAATGATAACGAGAGACATACGTGCAGTGAGGCGCGAAGTGGATTGGGTGCTGGCAGGGGTGCACACACGCACACACACACGCATACAGAGGCAGAAAGGGGGCAGACAGAGGCAGACAGGGGCACACACGCACACACAGAGGCAGACAGATACACACACGCACGCACACAAACACACTCACTAACAGACACTCACCAACACAGACACACTCACTAACAGACACTCACCAACACACACACACACACACACACACACACACACACACACACACCACACAGACACACACTCACCAACACAAACGCACTCACCAACACACACACACACACACACACACACACACACACACACACAGACACCAACACACAAACGCAACGCACCAGTGCCGTCGTCGTCATCATCGTCGCTGTCCGGGCGCTTCGTCAGATCGACGACACTCGTGAGCGCGGCCCCTGTTGGTGGGGCGCGCTGCTGCTGCGCAACCTCGTCCAGCGACGCGTGCTGTTGGCGATGGTGGTGATGGTGGGAGGAGGGGCTGTCGGAGGACGCGAGGCCGCGGGCATCGGGGTGCAGCACTGGCGTCAGGTCCATGAGCTGATTTTTTTTTTTTGGGGGTGGTGGGGTGGTGGTGGGTTGGTGTGATGGGTAAGGGGTAGCAGCGTGAGATGATGACCGGGAGGGGGGAAGCACACACACACACACACACACACACACACACACACACACACACACACACACACACGAACACAGACACAGACACACAGACACACAGACACACACAGACACACAGACACACAGACACACACAGACGCACAGACGCACGAAATCGTGTCCACCGTCTCAACCCCTTCCCCATCACCAACAGCACCTCCACCACCATCCCGGGTGCAGACCTTGACGCTGCCGTCGTCACAGGAAATGACAAGCGTGTTGGTCTTCGTCTCCACGCGCGCGCGGGCAGCGGCCGCAATCGACGGGAAGCGCTTGGCCAAGGGGGTGCGGCTGGTGGTGGTGGTGGTGGTGGTGGTGGAGACGGCGTGAGCAGTAAGTGATGTTGCCTATTTAATGCACGCGACATGGTACCTGCAACAAGGGACAACCAAGCAATACCACAGCCATCACAGCAATATCTACAGCGAGCAGCCAGCACCAACAACAGACACGCCAACACCATCCCCATCAGCGTACTCTGCCTTCATAACGTCCTCCTTGCATGCATTGCACACGCGCGTAGGCGTCTCAAAGCCCATGATCGGATATGTGCAGCGCGTGAGCGAGCACTCGTCGCACACAGCCTTGCTGCAGAGGCAGGTAAGGCGGGGTGGAGAGTAAGGGGAAGGTTGGTGGGTGAGTCGCTTGAACAGCAGCAACTGCGCGGCTGTGTTGTAGCCAAGCAGACGGACACAGAGACATGGATACAGACAGACAGACAGGCATACAGACAGGCAGACAGACACACAGGCACATACACACAGACACACAGACACACACACCCACACACAGCCACCCACACTCACGCCCACACACAGACACACTCCCCCCCCCACCAACGTGCCAGCCAGAGGCAGAACGCACCCGCAGATTCTGCAGTGGTGCTGGCGACGGACACTGACGCTCCTGTTCTCCCACATCTTCTTGACGTTCCAGAAGAACGGCAGCTCGCACAGCTGGCACGTGTCACTCTCCTCCCAATCGGGACACTGGTGGAGGTGATGGGTGCAATGGACGGATAGATGGGTGGATGGGTGCAATGGACGGATAGATGGGTGGATGGGTGCAATGCGCGAATTGAACATGAGGTGGAGAGGGAGAACTGGAGAAGCCCAATAGCAGACCAGTACACGTGAGTCAGCACGGCAAGTACGTGTGCATGCGTTTGTGTGTACCGGTGTGCGCTGTGTCTTGAGGTCCCATATGACGAGGAGCCCGTCTGTTCCGAGCGACAGCAGCGTCTGCTCCTCGGGGAGGTGCACCAGCGTGCTGATTCGCGACCTGGTCGCAGCGGTGACGACAGACGTGGTGGCGGCGGTGGTGGTGGTGAGGAAGTGGCAGGGATGGTGGTGGTGGCGGGGTGAGAGGAAGAGGTGATGGATGATTGTGGCCAACAACAGAATAGACACAGACACAGACACAGACACAGACACACACACACACACACACACACACAACATTAGTTCTCACGTGTGGCATCTGAGCTCGATGCGTTCGCCCTTCTGACCGCCAATGTCCCACAGAATCACCGTCTGGTCAAAGGAGCCCGAGAACAGCCACTTCTTCTGCGCAGCCCACGACAGCGCACGCACAGAGCCTTCGCGCGTGTGCGTGTGTGTTGGTACAAGGGGTACGTGTTAGGTGTTGTGAAGGAACCACGGGGAAGCAGGTCAGTGGAGTCAGGTGATGAGGTGGGGCAGGTGATGACACACACACACACACAATCACACAGACGTGCGCACACGCAAATACACATACACACACACACGCACGCACACACCTGTGTGGCCCTTGAGCGGGCCGGCGACCATCTGCAGTTTGCTGTTTTCGAGGCGATACACGTACAGATCACCGCTAAAGTCGCCAATGAACGTGGTCTGGCTCTTCTCGTCATACTGCAGACACATGCACGACGACGGCAGGGAGACGCACGCCAGCCGCTTGCCGTTGCCGGCCGTGGTGGAGACAGTGACGGTCTTGTCGCGCCCACACGACACGAGCTGCTGCCGCTGCGCATCATATGCGATGCCCGTCACCGCTCCAGAGTGCGCTGGTGTGCGTGGGTGCGTGTGTTGTGCGTGTGAGTAAGTGAGAGAGTGCGTGCGTGTGTGTGTGTGTGTGTGTGTGTGTGTGTGTGTGTGTGTTTGAGGAGGTGGCAGCAGCAAGGAAACAAGCGGGACAGGCGGGGAAAACGTGAGACCAGCATGCATCGAGTGCTGCAGCCAAAACAGCACACACACACGCACACACACACACACACACAGCCTCACCTGGGTATCCTTTTGTAGCGGTCAAGATGTTGTAGTCTGCAGACACCTCATACTCCTGACAAGGGCAAGAAAGCACGACGGGTGGTCAACAGCAGGCACAAGTCAGCCAGACTGAGGCTCACAGACAGACGTACTAACCACACACACACACAACATGCAACCTAACATAAACAAGGCAATCCCCCTCCCCAAACACACGCAGAGTAAAGCACACACGACACCCAACACGACATCCAAACATCACACTCCAAGGTAGGACGCAAAGCGCGCACGCACCGAGATGGCACCGTTCTCGAGGCCGACGAAGAGGGTGCGCGAGGGTTCGTGAAAGCAGAGATGGGTCACTGGCGCTGGCATGAGCCGGTGAAGGGACGGCCAGTAGGTGCTGTCATCACGCTTCAGCCACACCAACACCTGCCTGCAAGGCAGCACACACACACACACACACACACACACACACACACACACACACACACACACACACACACACACACACACACACACACACACACACACGATCGTAACGTCACGGAGACGTGGTGAATGTGCACGCGTGCATGAAGATCACACAGCGAGCAAACCGCCAAGCATCAGCCACACACAGAATAAGTGAGAGACCCAGACAACAGGCCTGCATCCTCTACACACACACACACACACACACACACACACACACACACACACACACACACACACACACACACACACACACACACACATGCTTACTTGTCAGCTGAGGCGGTGATTACTGCGCCGGCTTCTGGAACAAAAATGGCGTCTGCCACCGCTCCGCGATGATGGCCACTCAAGTTTGAAACAAACTGGGGCCGTGCCACCTGCTCAGTCCCGCTCATGGTTGATCGATGGGTTTGGTGCGTGTCGTGTACTTGCACACTCTGTCCCTTATACGTCGTCGTCTCCAGTTGTGCCGTGTTTCTTGGTGAGGAATGAACTCAGCGGCTTCGGGATGAGAGGTGGAGAGAGTAGCAAGCAATCGTGGTTGTTGGTTGTTGGTGATGTATGATGCGAGCGACTGATGTGTGTGCGTGCACCTTCCTCCAACGCCAAGCAAGAAAAGCACACCACCAACTCTTCGCTTGTTGCTTGTTGCTTCTTCCTCTTGCTTGCTGACTCATACGATATCTATGTATAGTTTCAGCCAATTTTCATCAACCGCAACGGGCTGTTCGTTCGTTGGTGTGGAAGGCGCGAGCGAAGGTACTTGTCTGTGTGTGTGTGTGTGTGTGTGTGTGTGTGTGTGTGTGTATGTTGCCTGATGCTTGCTTCCTTCTTTCCTTTGTTTGCCTTGTCCGGGCCGGGCCGCTCAGCATTCAAAGCAACGTGTGGTGGCACTGTGGGAACACCGCGCGCACACACACACACACACATGCACACACATGTGCACAGACACACACACACACACACATGAAGCCACACTCTTTTCACGCTTGCGCTTGTTTGTTTGTGGCCGTTACACAAGAAGTGGAACACAGGATGGCGTCCAAGAAAGGGAGCGCGGCTCCCACGCCGGTAAGGTTTTGTGTCGTGTTGTTGTGTCCCATGCCACAACTCCACCCATGTATGTGTGCGTCACCCAGCCACTCTGTGCTCATCCGTGCCTTTCACGGGTTCGTATGCTCGACAGAAACGAAAGGTGGGGCCAATCGACGTGACAAAGGAACAAGAAGCAGGTATGGCACCACACGCACGTACTGCTTTTGAGTGCAGCTGTGGTTGAGCGTGCATGCACGCCATTATGCTCATGCAAACGGCTGACATGCCTTGTCGCTGACCTAACCCTTGTCGCGAACGCGCGTTGGGACTGGTATAACTTAGAAATTCGACAGGACTTGCTCAAGGAGTGCGCCAACAAGCTGCAAACCATGATTGCAGAGTGAGTGCGTGCACTAGCTGTGCGGTGTGACATGGCGTAGGGGAAATGGGTTGAGTCTTACGCACTTGCTTCCGTTGCCACTGTGGAGCTCGTTGATGTTCCTGTCGCTGTTGTCGACACTGTGCTTGAGCTTTCCTGCCTTTGCCCTCGTGTTCTTGGTCTGCCGTCCCATTCTTCGACCTTTCCTCACCACCCAAACGCACACACACACACACACACACACCCGAACACACGTGCACATACACACACACACACACACACACACACCCGAACACACGTGCACACACACACACACACACACGTGCACACACACACACACACACACACACACACCACTTGACAGGCGCGATGTGAACATGCTGTTTGCCAACCCGGTGACGGATGACATTGCGCCCATGTACAGCACCATCATCGCCAAGCCGATGGACATGAGCACCATGCAGGAAAAGATCGACAAGGGCCAATACAAGTCCCTGCGCGACTACAAGGCCGACTTTGACCTGATGATGAAGAACTGCTTCACCTACAACGCGCCCGACACGTTTGTGTATCAGGAGGGCCGACGTGTGCAAAAGTACGGCACGAAGACAATCGCGCGGGAAATTGAACGCTTCCACCGCGAGCTCTCCAAGCGCCTCAAGCGCGCGTCAGAGGGCCTTCCCGTGAAGAAGAAGCCCAAGGCAAGCCCGCAGCACGGAAAAGGCGCGAAAAGCAAAGGTGCCGGCGTCGCTGCTGTGTCGCCTGCCACGCCGGCCAGCCCTGCAAGCGGCGAGGGCGGGTCACGCGTTGTGGGTGGGCCCGTGCCGTTTTTGCCGTCGCTCGCTGCATCGGGTGCGTCCACACCGCTGCACGCGTCGACCGGCACCGGAACATCGCCGTTGTCGTCGTCAGCGGCGTCGGCGAAGAAGAAGAAGAAGGCTGGCACGGCTGCTGTGACGCCGGGGCCAGACGGGCGCGGGGGGAAAAAGAAGGGCAGGAAGCCAAAGGTGAAGCAGCAGGAACAGCAGCAACAGCAGCCGCAGCTGCCCGTCATATTGCCCGCCGCCGAACGCGCAGCAAAACGCGCCGCCAAGAACCTCAAAGCTCGCAGGTGCGGACGTGGTGTGCGTGTGCGTGTGCGTGTGTGCGGCGTGTGTGCGGCGTGTGTGTGCGTGTGTATCTGCCGTTCACACGACTCTTGTTGCACTTGTCACACACACACTCTCACACACACCCTCATCTTCTCCCCTTGGTCATTTGTTTCTTTGCAGAAAGCGGACGTCGCTTGGGTACGTGACGCTTGACAGCGACGGTTGCGTCTACCACTGCCTCACGGGACTGGAGCGAGACTACGGTGAGGACATGAAGCAAAACAAAGAAAAACAAAAAACAACAACAAGATTGTTCTGCAGGGGGATGTTTTATTTTAGCAACGCTGCTGGATGTTGCCTGCATGCTGCAAACCGTTACGTTTCACCACGCACTCTTCTTCCACACCCAGTCATTACATCTCACACAACAGCTCACCATCACCACCATCATCACTGTAACCACCACCATCACCCATGACCACCACCACCACCAGGTGCGCGGCCGACGCTTCGAATGCCGCGCTCGACATACACGGCGGGATCGCGGCCAGACCGCAGCCAGGGCAACAGTGAGTTGCAACAGCGGCGGCGGCGGCGACAGTGATAGTGGTGTTGATTGTGATGCGGTGCGATTGTCGCCGCTTTTATCCTCTGCTGACTGGTATTTCTCGTCGCACCACCAGACACACACACGCTCATGCACACACACACGCTCTCTCTCTCTCACGCTCATGCACATACACACACACACACACACTCATGCACACATACACTCACACATACCATGCTATGTTGTCTGCCAGTCGGGGAGCGGATGATGGCATCGCCGGAGTACGGGTCGTGCGTGCATGTGCTCGGCTCGTCGCCAATTGCGCTGAACCACACGCTCGCACCAACGCCGCCGGTGCCGTCAGAACTGCCTGCAAGCATCACGCCAGGCACGCGGGAGTACTGTGCGAGTCTGTTTCAGTTTCTGAGCGTTCGGGGCAAGCTGCCGGATGCGCTGCTGGGACGCGCGGACGAGAAGGCGAAGGAGAAGCAACAAGAGAAGCACAAGGACAACGGCAAGGCAAAGGAGAAGGCAAAAGAGCAACAGGAGCAGAAGGGAAAGAAGCAAGAGAAGGAGAAGGGAAAGGAGCAAGACAAGGTGCATGTGCAGGACACAACCGAGGGAGGTGACGGTGGTGAAACGAAGGATGCGGCAGTGACGATGCCGTCACAGATGCAGACGGATGAGGAAGAGGGAGAGAAATCGACGAAGGAAGCGAGCGTACAGCAACAACAACACCATGGAGACGGGCAGGAACAAGCAAGTCAAGAGCTGCAGCAATCGGCGAATGGCGCTGCTTCTGTGCCGACAACAGCAGCACAAGCCCCTGTAGCAGCAGCGGCAGCGGCAGTAAGTGAGATGACATCGAAACAGGGGTCTCCGTCCCAGGACGCGAAGTCCAAGGAAGGCGATGATGCTGACACTTCGAAGGCGGAACAAGCACAAGCGCAGGAGGGAGGAGGGAACAAAGAAGGACCGGAGGAGAAGCAGAAAACAGACGAGGAGAAGAAGGAAACAGGAGAAGGCGAGAAAGGGCAGCAGTCGGAGGGACGGTTGCTGGAGGACAAGGAAGGCGATGGTGAAGACAACGCCAAGGCAATGGATGAGGGGGGTGACGAAGGCGGTGATGGCGCTGGTGCTGGCGAAGGGGAGGTGGCAGAGGAAGCAGCGCCCGGACAAGAGGACGATAAGCGCAGCGAGCAAGCGTTAGCGGTGGAGGCCAAAGCTGAGAAGGAGGAAGCTGCCACAACAGGTGACAAGCAAAGTGGTGATGATCAGGAAGATGGTGGTGCTGATGGTGAGGAAGAAGCGAAGGCGACGAATGTGAATGGCGACGCCGCAGACACGCAGGAAGACGGCGAAGAGAAGGGCAGTGAAGGACGGGAAGACAGCAGCAGCGCAGATGCGACGGAAAAGGGGGAGGAAGCAAAGACGGAGCCGGACGAGAAGAGCGGAGACAAGAAGGACGAGAAGTGTGGAGACGAGAAGGACGACGATGATGATGGTGATGGTGATGGTGTTGATGCCATGGACACAGCTGCAGATGAGGGTGACGCTGACAAGGAAGCGTCGGCAACAACAGCGTCGACACCAACAGTAACAGCAACAGAAACAGCAGCAACAGAAACAACAGCAACAGAAGCAGAAGCAGCAACAGCGACGGAATCGGAGAGCGAACCTGGCGCAGAGGCGGCATTGCAGGCGCGAGCGGAACAAGAAGACGAGCAAGGCGGGAAGACGGAAGGCAAGCCAGAGGGTGGCGATGAAGGCAGAGGGGAAGCAGCAGCCACGCCAACGACAGGGCAGCAGCCGAAGGAGGAGGCGATTGTGGAGGAGGAGGAGGAGGAGGATGAAGCAGTAAAGGGAGACGCGATGGATGTTGGCGGTGACGACGACGACACGAAGGAGGAAAAGGGAGCAGAAGAGAAGCAAGACACACGGGAAGCAGGCACGGCTACGCAGGAGGGAGAGGGCAAGGAGCAAGGAGCGGAGAAAGAGAAGAAGACAGGCAAAGATGAGGAGCAGCAAGAAAAGGGGCACAAGGACGAAACTGAAGAAGAGAAGGGGGACAAGGACGAAGATGAGGGCGAAGGCAAAGGCAGAGACGAAGATGAAGATCAAGATGAAGATGAAGATCAAGGCGAAGCGGAATCGGCCGCACAGGGACAGGACGGCAGTGACTCGCAGCGAGAAGACAGCACCAGCGTTGCAGCACGACAAGAAGCAGAACACAACGGCCAAGCGTCGCCATCACCATCGTCCTCACCATCATCATCACCATCACCGTCCTCGCCACGGGTAAATATGGCGGAGAAGTTTGTGTTTCACTTTGCGAACCACGTGACGCTGGGTGCGCTGGCGGGGCAGCCGGAGGTGGTGGAGGATCGACCCGTGTACACCAAGGAGGGCATCATCAAGGAGAGCGTCGGCGTCATCGAAGGTGTGAAGACGAGAGTGGGGGGGGGGTTGGAGGAGGAGGGATCTGTCTGCAGAGCGCAGTCACATCAATGTTGACGTGTTGATGGTTTATGCACATGGAACCACACATTCACACACTCAACCAAGCATTCACACTCTCAAACCACACATTCACACACTTACCCAAACATTCACACTCTCAAACCACACATTCACACACCGAACCAAACATTCATACGCTGAACCACACATTCACACACACACACACTCTCACACACTCGCTCGCTGACACTCGCTGACACACGTGCATGCGTGCGTGGTGCAGCTGCTGTGCAAGACCGGATCAACTTTGTTGCGCGCGGGCTCAAGTGCCTGGACGACTGCCTTAAGGCGCGCAAGTCGTATGCGGCCAACCACCCTATCCCGCCCAGCCCCGAGGAGCAGGAGCTTGGTACGGTCGTGCACGGTGCATGATGACGCCAATGCTGTGTGGTGATGGGCGTGATGATGTTGTGCGTGTGTGTTTGTAGAAGACGGGGCTGCTTGCTGTGCTGTTTGGGATTCCTTTCCCTCTTGTCAACTCACACCCTCTCACCATCACCACCATCACCATGACGGTCACCACCACCACCAATCACAATCACCGCCACCATCATCACCGCCACGACTACCGTGCGCGTCTGCGACCGCCGATTCATGACGGCCAGCAACGGAGCTCATTTCGCAGCTGCAAGGCCTCGTCAGCTACTCTGGGATGTGTCGCAGCGCCCGGCACGCCGCGTCGTCGACGGGCCGCCCATCATCCGCCGCCAGCACATCGGCAGCAATGCAGGCGGCGTCGGCATCGGCGTTTGCTTCGTCCTCCCCCTCCTCATCGTCGTCGCGACCAACGGCTGGCAGGCACCCGTGATACCAGCCCTGCTGTGCGACGCATATGTGTTTGTGTTTGTGTTTGTGTTTGTGTTGTGGTGTTTGTGCGTGTGATTACGATACCAGGTCTCTCCTATTGTTGTTCTGTTCATGGTCACCTTGTTACCCTCCTTCATAGCCAATGTCATATCACAACCACCTTCTCTGCTGGTGTAACCCCAATGAATACACAGAGAAGCACGTGAGTTGTGTGGCATGGTGCACAACGCGTGACAGGATCTGCACACACACACATCACACACACACACACACACACACACACACACACACACACAACACCACACCACGCGCGTGTGACACAACAAACCAACCAGCAAGATGCTGCTGCTGTTTTGGCGGACACGAGTGTGCACTGCACGCCCAACGCTTCGCCACCGCTCTCGCCTACTCTCATCAGCAGCACCAACACGTTCCTCCTCGTCACCCTCGTCACCCTTCTCGTCACCCTCCTCATCTGCACCGTCGTCTTATAAGCCCCCGAGGCCGCGCCGCTACCGCGACCTGAGCAAGCCCGTGCACGTGTGGACGGTGCACATCCCCCAGCGAAGCGACACAGGAAGCAGTGGCAGTGATGAGGCGATATGGCAGGCTGTGCTGCGCGCGGCGCCCTGGCTTCGAGACGGCGACGAGCTGAAGCGACGAGCAGCCTCGGGTGGCATCCGAGACGAAGCATCTGGTCACTCTCTCACATGGGCGGACTTGCAACGACCAGCGTGCGTTTCTACATGCGCGTGCGTGCGTGCGTGTGTGTGTGTGTGTGTGCGTGCGTGCGTGTGTGTGTGTGTGTATGTGTGTGTATGTGTATGTGTGTGTGTGTGTGTGTGTTGCGCTTACCCTAGAATGGCGTGCTCGAGTGCAGGCAAGACGGGCCACGGGCAGTACTGGTGGACAACAGCAGGCTTCAAGACAATGTTATTGTAACCTCGACTGATCCAAGCAGCATTGATCTGGACATCATCTACGAAGATGAAGGTGCGCCCCTTGACACCCGTGAGCTTCCTTCTTGTTAGAATGCGCGTCCAACGTGTTGGAGCTGTTCTGTGCACGAGCCGAGCCGCCACCGCGTTGCCACTCACTGAACTTTGCCGTGTTCGTGCCTTGACCACACCTCAGCCATCGTTTGTGTCAACAAGCCCCCTGGCCTCCCCGTCCAACCTCAGGGAGCGGACCAACTGCACAACGTCCTGGTACGTCGACCCCACCACCACCATCGTCATCGCCACACACGCCTGCGCCATCATCTCCAACACCATAATCTGGAGCCATCACAGTGCACAGCACACAACTCAATGCCCAGACACCATACCACACACACTCTGCATCACCCTGCGCCCTGCGCTTCCATTCGCAGGCGGCCCTTCATCACCGGTATCGGCAGAACGACGGTGCACTGGATGTGGTTCCGCGACTCGTGCACCGCCTTGATGTCAACACCAGCGGTGTCCTGGTCGTCGCCCTTGACCGGAAGATTGCCGGGCGCATGGGCGCTCTCCTCCAGTCAAGACAGGTAAGCGCAGTGTGTGTGTGTGTGTTTGTGCGTGTGTGTCTGTTTGTGTGAGTGTGTCTGTGTTTGAGTGTCTGTGTGTGTGTGTGTGTCTGTGTTTGAGTGTCTGTGTGTGTGTGTGTGTCTGTATGTCTGTGTGTGAGTGTCTGTGTGTGTGCGTGTGTCTGTGTGTGATACATGCAGGCGATTGCGAGCGCGTGTGCGTGCTTTGTTTCATGGCACATGCGTCTTCTGCCAACCCACACAGTCCCCACCCTCAACCTCCCCTTCAGGTCATCAAGCAATACTCAGCACTGGTGCATGGTGAGCTGCGTGGTCAAGGCGTCATCACCGCTCCCATCGCCCGCGCACCAAAGGACCCAGAGGGCTCCAGAATACAGAAGTTCGTATGCGTGAGCACATGCGTGCGTGCGTATGTTGCGCGTGCGAGTACATTTTGTGTGTGCATGTGTTGTACACACGCATGGAGATGTTCATGTATGCGCGTGTATATAACTGCGTTGAGTTCACGCGTCTTGCCAATAACTCTGGCTTCACATCACATCCTCCACACACGAAAGGTTCACGGTGTCGCCACACGGCAAGCCGTCAGAAACGGAGTATGAAGGCGTGCACGCCAGCGCTCATTGGAACGCAAGCCTCGTCACATTTCGCCCAAGGACAGGTGTGTGTGTGTGTGTGTGTGTGTGTGCGAACACCATTGCAGGTGCATCATCTCAGTAACACCGTCAATCTCACCTCCCTTGCTCAACACTGACACACACTTGATCACCGCGTTGGTGCATAGGTCGCACGCACCAGATCCGTGTGCACAGCCATCACCTTGGTCACCCGCTGTTGTTTGACGATCGATACCATCTCCACGACCACCAGCAACAAGCCCAACAACAGCAACACGAACAACAACAGCAGCAAAGCGCATGCTCCCAGTTGGACAACGAATTTGCGTCGCACGTTCGCATGCGGCGATGCGCCCTGCACTGCGACAGCATGACATTCACGCATCCCGCAACAGCGGAGACGGTTACGGTGCGTGCGGACTGGCCACGTGACTTTGCCCACGCCGTGGGCGTGTTGAAGTCACAATGCTGACACAGGTTGGAGGGGTGAAGATCGAGCACCTGCGATTGTAGTGACTGCGTTTGTGCTTCACGATAGTGTCAATTTGTATGTGTGTGTGTGTGCGTGTGTGTGTGTGTGTGTGTGTGTGTGTGTTCGTGTGTGTGTGTGTTCGTGTGTGTGTTCGTGTGTGTGTGTGCGTGCGTGCGTGTGTGTGTGTGTGCGTGTGTGTGTGTGTGCGTGCGTGCGTTTGTTTGTGTGTCCTGTTCATTTTGTTCACATGTGGTAATGCGGATGAGGATCTGTGTCTCTCCACCGCTGCCCCCTCTTGTAATGCTCGGACTCAGTCATGTACGCAATGGGAAGATTGTAAATGGTCAGGAGGTGCGCTTGCGCACAATAAAAGAACAGAAATCAACATTCCGCCAGCAATAGGGCTTGTATCACATCACACAAGAAAAGAATGATGTCGGCACAACAATGAGACGAAAGCACAGAACCTGCTGTGAACCCTCTTGATCACGTACACGGACACACAGACAGAGGGGACAGACAGACACACACACACACACACACACACACACACACACACACACACACACACACACACACACACACACACTCAACAACAAAAGACACTGGCACACCCACTCGCACTCTCACTCACACATTCACTCACACAGGCACTATTGGAGCGGCACCATGAGGGTGACGCGCTGCGGACGAGAACGAATCGCCTCAATCACGTGCGCGTGTGTGAGCGAGAGCGCACTGCGTCCATTGATGCCCCAGATGATGTCGCCAGCACGCAAGCCAGCCGTGTCGGCCTGTCCACCAGCATCAACGCGCTCCACGCGCGACGGGTGCTCTCCAGAAACGTTGAGGCCCAACGGAGTGTCATTGAGGGTCACGCGTCGCAAGGTGGAGATGACCACCAGGCGAAGACACGCCCCCTCGTCACGCCCCTTCTGCGCTTCTGACGCAATGAGCGCTCGCGCAGCTGCCAGCGACTGTGTGCGGACGTTTTGTCCGTTGATCTCCCACACCTGGTCGCCAAGCTCGAGGCCTGCCAGCGCGGCTGGTCCGTCCTCATCAACACTCGACACGTGGAGGGGTGACGCCCCCTTCTGCAGGAGCGTGAACCCTGGGAAACCATCGCTCACGCCGGGAGTGCCACGCACGTCCACGCGCCGCAGTGTTGGGCGAACGAGCAGCTTCACCCCCTGCGCACAGCTGCGAAGAATGCTGACGACGTGATCGTGGGGTTTATCGCGCACGTGTGCGCCGTTGATCTCCCATATGTGATCGCCGAGCCGCAGTCCCGCCCGCTCCGCAGCGCCAGCAGGGTCGATGCTGGCGGTCGTGTTATTGGGGCGGGGGGGGGGGTTGTGTGTTTGTGAGCGAGAGAAGGAGTGAGAGGGTGAGTGAGCGAGTGAGAGAGCGACTGAGTGAGTGAGTGAGTGAGTGTGTGTGTGTGGATGCATGTGTGCGCGAGGGTGAACAATAAGCTATTGCAGGCAAACAATGCGATTGTTGCAACTCTCACCACCACACACGAGCCCTTGCTCAATACGATCGCACCTCTTAACATATGTGGGCATGTTCCCCTGCAGCACGAAACCAAACCCGCGGTTCGCGTCCTTCAAGACCGTCACGCGCTTCAGGTACTGCTGAACGGTCAAGTGCACTCGCTTCCCCTGCACCGCACGCAGCAGCTCCAGAATACCCTGCGTCCGGAGTAAAGCGTTGTTGGAGTCGTGAGAGCATCAGCAGATGCTTTGAAGGAGAGAGTTTGGATATCACGGACGCGGGAGTCGCACACACGTGCTTGACGTGCACAAAACGACACACACACACACACACACACATGCGTGACTCGCACAACACTACACACACACACACACACACACACACACACACACACACACACACACACACACACACACACACACACACACACACACACACACACACACACACACACCTCATGGGAGAGGCCTGCGACGGGGATGTGGTTGATGCGAACAATCGCGTCTGTGTCCTGAAGACCCGCGGTGTGAGCGGGGGATTCAGGTCGCACCTCGCTGAAGATGGTGACATGAGGGGGCAGTGAAGTGCAGTGAGGAGGTGGTGTTGGTGGTGATGGTGGTGGTGGTGAGGGATTGATGCGGTTGCACGTGCCGCGAGCGTGAGAATGATGACAGGCCTTGATGTGATGCGGGGAGTGTTGTTGACTGCGTAGCGGAAAGACGAGAGCCGCGTGGGCAGTGTGGCGCACAGCGTCAACCAAACAACACCCAAGCAGTGTCTGCGAACCACTCTCAGAGTCCATCGATGTATTGTCATCACACACACACACACACACACACACACACACACACACACAGGTCTATTACGCTCACCCAATGACGCCGGGCGTGTTGAGGCGGAGGCTGAAGCCGAGGTCTGCGTTGCAAGGGAGCACAACATCCCGCAGCGTGAGCGTGGCTGGATCAACGGCGCACCCGTTGGGCAGGTGGGCCGGGTTGGACGATGAGGATCTGGCGCGGGTACGTGGAGGGGCGTGCTCTCTCGACAGCAGCTTCACCCACTTGCCCTGCGCCTGCCGCTGTTGTGGTGTGTGTATGCACGTGAACGTGTGAACGTGGGTATGTATGGGCAGGCGAATGACGAAAGCAGCTGCATTGGCACATCGGTGGGTGGGACATGGCATGACATGTGTTGATAGGCTGCTGAAAGCAATCGTTTCAATTTAAAGCAACCCTCTCCCCCCTCCCCCTCCGTTCAGTCTGCGCACGTCTTTGGTGTGAAGAACAAAGCTGTGGGATTTGACGCCGAAGAACACGCTCATCGCTGAATCGTCCGTGTCGACCTGCCGCGAGCGCGTAACGTGGGTAAGTGCGCGTACACAAATGCGACGGTGGGGAGCAACAACATGTGGGGTTGTGCCTGTCACATTTCTGCAGCAGGTTGAGCCACATCACGAGTGAACGCACGAAAATATCTTTGAGGAGGAGGGGTTTGTTTCCCGGATTCATCAGCACATATGTCGGTTCCTCCCTGCGTAAGTTCAGTCAGGGGATGGTGGTTGGGGGGGGGGGCGTGGCATGGGGTAAGCATGAACAAAGAGGGTGCGTGTGTGTGGTTGGTTCCCTGCAAGCAATCATGACATCATGTCATCACAACACGTTTGATATTGGAGCACGCACCACGATCCCGGTTGCTTCTCCGTCAGGAGAACAAAGTCGTTGAAGACAATCACCTGAGGAGCACCACACAGACACACACACACACACACAGACACACACACACACACACAGACACACACACACACACACGCGCGCGCGCGCGTGTGGAGTTGTGGTTCAGCGATTCATGTTGTTGGGAACGTTAAGGGTGTCACATGACGAGTCAACAGCAAGTCAGAAGTAGAATTAACACCACGCAAGCCAGCATGCTGAAGGTCCATGCAAGCACCAGCCATCGTGCACAACAACAACAGCGCGCGTGACTCACGGTGACGTTTCGAGGTTTAGATTTTTTGTTTCGAAGTAGAGTTCGTCGCGCAAACTCAACGGGCACCGTCTCCTGCATGGCAGATGGGGTGTTTGTGTGAGTGCGAGTGCGTGTGTGTGTGTGCATGTGTGTGTTTGTGATGCAGATGTTGGCAGGAGTGACGTCTGACGCCACCGCATGCATGACCAGCAACCGCGTGACATTAACTCTCCAAACACACACACACACACACAGACACGCACATCGACACACGCACACACTAAACTACGCGCACACACGCACATCGACACACGCACACACACACACACACACACACACACACACACACACACACACACACACACACACACACACACACAACACAACACAATAACACACACAACAGCACAACAGCGACCCGCCACCTCGTGCACGAAGAATCTGGAGGGCTCCATGAGTTTGAAGGGAAGCGGGGCGCCGTCGGCAGAGACGAGGTGCTCTTCGTAGAACGAAAGCTTTGCGACGGTGCGCATGCGTGTGGACTGCTCGTGTACTTTGTCAATGTTCTGCTGAAGTGTCTTCAGTGTCTCCTTCAGCGTCAGGTGGTCGCCGTGCGATTCAGGCGTGCACTCAATCACATCCATCAACACCTTGGGCAGCCTGCGCAACACATGTATCAAGTGTGTGTGTGTGTTGGTGTAAGTGTGTGAGTGAGTATGAGTGTGAAAAGATGGGTTGGATTGGGGACACAAGGGCATGAAAGGGATGCGAGACCAATTTGCACGTCCACACGCATAGGTACACCCTCACACACATGCATTCACATGAAACCACATGAAACCACATGAATCCACATGCATTCACATGAATCCACATGCATTCACATGCATTCACACACGCACACATACACACACACCCCTCGCAGACACACGACTGACAGGTTCATGGTGCGGATGGGGTGAGTCAGCAGTGCCTCCAGGTTGCAGTCTGGGTTGGTGAGCGACTGCTGATTGAGAAATGCGGCAAAATCTTGTGATGTCGCCTGCAGCCGTTGCAGCTCCGCCCGGGACGCGTCCCTGAGGATGTGGTGGTGGTGGTGGTGGTGGGGATGTGCTCGTGGTTGAGGTAGTGTGCTCGTGGTTGCGTGTTGCGTGTTGCGTCGAGCAAGACAATGGGCCTCGCGCCCGTTTTCGTCAACGGTACAACAAACGCCCCCTCCTGTCCCTCCCCTCCTGAGAACCACTACTGCCAATGCAAACGCCACTGCTGCCTCCACCTGTTGACGGTGTACACCATGAGCTTGGGGTTGATGGCCGACACAAACGCCTTGACCACATCGGCAATGTTGCTGAAGCGGCCAGTGGCCACAACCTGACCGTCAGATGAAGGGGCAGGGTGGTGTGGCAAGGGTAAGGGTGATGATGTGGATGTGTATCTGGGGAGGCGAGCTCATGCATGCAAAAAGTGTATGTTGAAAGCGCCAGGTAACTGTCATGTTTGTCAACACGAACACACACACACACACACATCCATGCACACATCCACACTCCCAAGGCTGCCGCGGAACAACTCACGAAACCAGCACAGCAAGCATCATGCCACCTTTCGCGTTGCAAGGTCGGTGACAGCGTCTTTGCACGGCCCGTACAGTTCCTCAATGTTTGCAAACAGTTTTGAGTGCTGTTCCGATGTCAAATCAATGTTCAGTGGCTCAACAAACACCTGCGAATCATGGTGAGGGTGGGGACGGGGTGAGAGGGCCAGAGTGGATGTGTGTGTGTGTGCGCGCGCGCGTGTGTGTGTGTGTGCGCGTGTGTGCGTGCGTGAGTGGTATGGGCGATTCAGGTTTGACAGAAGCACGTGTCTGATGAAGTGATTGTGTCGACATGCAAGCACAACTTACAACAACAACAACTTACAACAACAACTTACAACAACAACAACAACAACAACAACAACAACAACAACAACAACAACAACAACAACAACAACAACAACAACAACAACAACAACAACAACAACAACAACAACAACAACAACAACAACAACAACAACAACAACAACAACAACAACGCTACCAGCAGCACACCTCGATGCAGAGATGAATGTTCTCTGCGACGTCCTGCAGTGTTCTCAGAAGCAGAGCAATGGCGGCCTGACGCCGCTGTTCCCGCGGAGTGATGTCGTGAAGATCATCCACAAACACCCCATCACCATCGCCATCACTGTCACTATAATCGCCATCGACGTTGTCGTCGTCGTCGTCGTCATCGTGACTCATCATCGCATCCACATCCACGTCGTCACCCAGCGTGCCCGAGAGCCGCATGCGTGTGTGCGCAGCAGCATCACCGCCCTCGCTGCTGTCGCTGATGCTCATGCGTCGAAGCGACGACCGGCGCGGCGGCTGTAGAGATGAACAGATGAACAGATGAACAGATGAACAGATGAACAGATGAACAGATGAACAGATGAACAGATGAGGAGATGAGGAGATGAGGAGATGAGGAGAGCACATACACGTACACACGGACCAAGCGGATGAGTTAGACGGGGTGTATCTGTGTGTGTGTGTGTGTTGAGGCGACTCACGCTGGCGTCGAGGGGCACAATCTCAGACAGGCGAACCTCCTGTGAAATATGGACAATACAAACGAGTTAAAGGCATGGATGTGAATGTGTTCCCATCCGACACAGGCACTGCAGCACAAGGAGGTTCGTTGACGCACACAGACACACAGACACACACAGACACACACACACACACATACACACGAAACGTTACCCTGCGGTTTGTTGCGTTGTGTCCGCGCTCAGTGACAATGGCAACACCGCGCTCGCGATGAATCTGTTCAATAGTCGCCACCTCATACACGGACGCGTCATCCTCCGTCAGCACCCTGGACATGGTGGTGGCGGTGATGGTGGTGGTGATGGTGGTGGTGGTGTCGTCGTTGTGATGTTGATGTTACGATAGGTGGTGGTGGTGGTGGTGGTCACACCGACAGTGGAGGTTGCAAGCGCGTTACTTGTTTGGTGATGAGCAGGTGCACCACACTGCCGCATCACTACACCCTCACGCGCGCGCAACAGCACAGCCCCTTCACGCAAATACACCGCTTGTCTCAACAACACATGTCGTTGGTGCATGAGTGCCGGACCTGCATGCCTGCCCTGGTCGCCAGCTGGCATTGCTCGCCGTGGACAGGGTCGTTGACGCTGTCGACGCGAGAACGTGTATGGAGTGCCAGTTGTGTTGTTTTGTGTTGTTGCGTGTGGCGTGAGCGTGTGGTCAACAAAGCCGAATATGTGTGAATGTCGACGATAATGTAACACAACGTGACTTCGTCAGCTTCCATCCACACACACACATACACACACACGCACACACACACGCACACACACATACACACGCACACGCTGCTTACAGTGTCGTGAGGCGGCAACTTCGCTGTGCATTCGCAGCTGGAGTTGGTGGCGTTGGAAACAGTGGTGATGATGGTAACAGTGGTGGTGATGATGATGATGATGATGATGATGATGATGATGATGATGATGATGATGATGATGATGATGATGATGATGATGATGATGTGATGATGATGATGATGATGATGATGGTGATGATGATGATGATGATGATGATGATGATGATGATGATGATGATGATGATGACAGAACCCGAAGTTGATGTCGTGGAATGGAAACCACAGCATACGTGCCGAAAACCTAACATCACGCACACAACTTCACAGGCATTGATGAACACACACACACACACACACACACACACACACACACACACACACACACACACACACACACACACGTGTGTTCAGGCGAGTGCGCACCTTCGTGTGACCGAGGATGGCCTCTTCACGGGGGAGCAGCGAATACCAGCCGGCACGCGGTGCTGTACACATATGGTGATGGTGATGGTGTTTGGGAGGGAGCGGGGATGTGTGCGCGTGTGCGTGTGAGGGAACAAGAGGCCTGGTTTGGCGAATGAAACCATGAGCAGTGAAGATAACCATGCAACACCACACAACACCTCGCAGCGTGTGTTCAGTGAATGGGCGCAGAAACTGACATTGCATCACGTCCTCCAGAGCAAAGGAGAGCCCGCCGCTGTAGTGATCACCGCTGTTGCTCCTGCAGTGGACGGTGGTGGTTGTGATGGTGATGGTGGTGGTGATGGTGATGGTGGTGGTGTCAAAGCAACCGTTGAAGCATCCGCACACACGACGGCCACTGCAACAACACACACACACACACACACACACACACACACACACACACGCACACACACACGCACGCGCACACATCCAGACACACACACACACACACGCACGCACGCACACATGCACACGCACACACGCACGCACACACGCACGCACACACACATACACACACACAATGTTTACCTGGTCCAGACGGCGAGGTGAAGCCGGGTGCCATGGGGCATGTCCAGCGGGATGAAGCTGATGGCAGCAGTGGTCGTGTTGATGGTGACGGTGATGGTGATGGGACAGTGAGGAAGGGAACAGCGTGGCAAGAGGGAAGCAAGGACGCACTCTCAAACCGCTACAGCGCATATACAGCCCACACACGCAACTCACAACTTGAACGTCTGGTTCCATGCTGGAGAATGTGTCTTGGTGATGAGCTGCGTCTTTCGCTGGTTCTCGCCATCGCTCGATGGGTCTGGACAGCGGAAGCAAGTATTGATAGTGAGTGGTAAGCAACGTCAAATAGAAGCGCTTGTACCACACACACCACACACACACACACACACACACAAACACACACACACACACAAACACACACACACACACCTGGGTCGAGGAAGACGTTTGCGTATGAGGTTGGAGGTCCGAGACGAGGTGCTGCGTCATCTTCCACACTGCCCTGCAATCGAGCCTCCCGCACTGGCAACAACGAGGCAGGGCAGATGTGGTCGATGGTGAGCTCGTGCCGGCGGCGTGGAAGCAAGTCAACAAACAGCAGCGGGGCGAATTGCGTGCACGATGTGAAAAAGGATCAGAGGCAAGCAAGGCGCAAAACAGGCTGAGCGGTGGCGACGCGCATCTCACCGGATACGATGAGGATGCCGTCTGCGTTGACAAAGACGATGCTGAGCTTGATGCGCTTCATCACACCGGCACGGCTCGACGCACGCTCCATGCGCAGCATCCTGCGAGAAGTCGGTGGTGGACGGAAAGCGGGAGCAAACGAGTGCGCACGGTGTCAAGGACGCGCGGCATGGACCAGCAAAGGATGGCTTGAAACAGCAACCCACAAGTTGGAGGATACGCAGAGCAATCAATCAAAACGCAAAAATGGCGCCAGAGCGTGCCGCTTACCTTCTGGCGTTGAATGGCGACGGGCTGCGTGCAGTGCGGGCAGTTGTCAACAGGTCAAACAAGCAAGATGGCCATGAGAGTGAGGCTCTGTTTGGGTTGTGACATGATCAGGCGCAAAACAAAACACCAAAATGCCACCCCCTTGCACGCCAGCACTTTCCATCCAAGCCACGCACCACATTATCAGTCAGTTGAGTGCTCGCTGCGTGCTTGATGGATGTGGCACTCTCAACTTGCTTTCAAATCAAAGTTCCCTCACCCAAACAGGCACACGCATCCACACACCCGAGTTACTCGTTTTGTCACACGACAAACAAGCCAAACAGAGCGAGCGAGCGAGCCAGCGTCGATCAATGGCGACGACAGCGACGAGGGTGGTGAGTGATGTGCGACGAGACAACTTGCACTGCACGGTGGCACAAGTGCCTGTTTTCCCCTTCTCTTCTTGCTTGTTTGCTTGCTTGAGTCGCGTTTGTTTGCGTTTTGGGAAATTAGCGAAAGATCTTTCGCTCAATCAGCGGTGGCGTATTCCACTGCACTTTGTGGTGTTTGTTTACAGTAGCGGATATGGATGTGGTGTGTGAGGTGGAGCGGGCTGTGCTGCTGCGGCGGTTAGGCCATGTTGCTGCACGCAGGGATGTGTGGCCGTTTGCAGTGATGCACGTTGCTGTGTTGGCGACGTGTGCGCACTTTGTGGTTGCAGACCACATCACGTGGCACCTCTTGTTGCTGGCAGCAGCGGCATCTGCGGCACTGCACGTCGTGGCCTTTCTCTCGTCCACGTGGTCCGTCAAAGCCAAGGCCTTCTTCCAATTTCGAAAGGTGCGGTCAGTTGTGTGTGTGTGTGTGTGTATGTGTGTGTGTGTGTGAGGCACTGTTGGTGACTGCGCTCGTCCCTCAGTTTGTGATTCACTGATACGCTCATCTTGCTGTGGGGTGCGACGTCAGGTGAACACGCTGGACCAGGCGACACACGTGCTGGCGCACCCCACAGACGCGACATTGAAGGCCGAGATTTGCGACATTGTGAAAGGTGAAGGGCCAGCGCGTATCGTGTTCCAGCGGCTGCCGTACACCGTTCTTGTTGATGCAGCCACTGGAGCAGTCACCTGTGACATTCTCCAGTACCCCGTTAACGAGCAGCTCACCACATACAGGTGCGTGCGTGTGTGTGTGTGCGAGTGTGTGTGTGCGTGTGCATGCATGTGTGTGTGTGTGTGTGTGTGTGTGTGTGTGTGTGTGTGTGTGTGTGTGTGTGTGTGTGTGTGTGTGTGTGTGTGCGTGTGCGTGTGTGTGAGTGCACGGGATGCGGACTAATCTTGGCATCTTGAGCTGCGACGAGCTCACGCCGCCTTCAACCTCTTTTCATTATTACGTGCGTGTGTGTGTGCTTGCAGCGAAAGCACCGGCCTGAGTAGTGCCAAGGTGCAGGAGCTGACGGCACAGTTTGGGACCAACGACATTACCATCGACCCGGCTTCCTTCTGGGACTTGTACATTCAACAAATTACAGCGCCCATTTTCGTGTTCCAGGTACGAGTGACGGGTGATGTGAGGCGCCTGTGCAGCACGACTGCGTATCTGCTTCAAGCACCCGCCCTCCTGTTGTTGCTTTGTGCACGCTGCTGATACGATCCACATGTGCATGTACGTACGTGTTGTGTATGTGATTTGTGAATGCGGTTTGTGTGTGTGTGTGTGTGTGTGTGTGTGCGTGTGTGTGTGTGTGTGCGTGTGTGTGTGTGCGTGTGTGCACGCGCGTGTGCGTGTGCGTATGTTGGTTGTGTTCAGGTGTTCTGCATGATTCTGTACATGTTGGATGACTACTGGTACTTCAGTCTCGTCACGCTCGCCATGCTCCTCTTCATCGAGCGCATCACCACGCAGCAGGTCCGCTCCTCTGTATGTGCATGTGTGCATGTGTGCGTGCGTGTGTGCGCGTGCATGTGTGCATGTGTGCGTGTGTGCGCTTGCATGTGTTCGTGCATGTGAAACATGACGGTACGCCTGTGACCAACATTGCGGATTTCGTTGACATGGCACTGTGTGTATGCGTGATGGTGTGGTCACATGACAGCGCCTGAAGAACTTGAATGAGCTGCAAGGCATGCGCCCAAAGCCCTATGAGCTCCGCGTGTTCAGGTGAGCGGACGCCAGCTGCTGTGACGTCGCATTGTGCAGTTCAACAGCGACTGTTGTCGTTAGTTTTGTTGCTCTCGAAGTGCGTTGAAGTGGGCTCAGTATCACTTCGTCACGTCGCCGTTTCACGCTCGAACACACGCTGCAATGCTAATTTACTCACCATCCATCCTTCCTTCCTTCCAACCATCCATCACATCATCACATCATCACATCATCACATCATCACATCATCACATCATCGCATGACCAGGGATCGCAAGTGGGAGTGGCGCTCCACGGCCTCGCTCGTGCCGGGAGACCTGATTGCACTTCGTACGTGTTGATCTGGCGTTGTGGTGGTGCTTTGATGTTATGTGTAGTGTGACGTGGCGTGCTGCATGCGTTTGTAAGTACGTGGTTGCGTGCAATGCTTGTATCTGTGCATGTGAGATGGCATTGTGTCCATTGTCTGCTTGTTGCTACATCCCACGCGGTGTGCCGATGATAACCCTTCCTCGCCACTCAACAATCACTCGCACGTCTACATCACAGCCCGCACAAAGCATGCCATGCACAAGGTGCCGGCGGACGTCGTGGTGCTTGCAGGCACGTGCGTTGTCAACGAGGCACTGCTCACCGGTGAAGCTGTGCCACTGCGCAAGGTGCGTAAAACTTGCATATTGCAAAAGAAATAGGGGTGACTCACCCGCGCACAAACCTCGCAAGCGCTGCCAAGACGCTGTGTGCTTGCAAGCAAACGCATACTTGCCGCGTGCGACGTATTGTCAAGTGCAGCGTTCGTGCATGCCAACGTTCGCTCACCTTGCTGCACTCTTTGTGTCACGATTGCAGGAGGGCGTGGACAAACTGCTTGCGGACCGCGGGTCCAGTCGCCTGTCCGCTATTCCGGACGCCAAGCGCTACTACGTGTTTGCTGGCACAACGGTCCTGCAGACCACAGGCGCCCCGAAGGAGCGAGCTGTGAAACCGCGTGACACCAGCTGCCTCTGTGTCGTCGTTCGGACTGGCTTTGCCACGCAGGAGGTGCGTACGGTGTGTCTGTGTGGGGGGGGGCGAGTGTGTGGGTGGATGATGGGTGCGGGGAGGTGTGTGTGTGTGTGTGTGTGTGTGTGTGTGTGTGTGTGTGAGGATGATGGGTGTGTGTATAGGTGTGTGTGTATGTGTGTGGTGATGGGTTGTGAAAGTGTGCCAGTTGTGTTCTGACATGTGAACAACCTGACACAAACAACATCACTGCCGCTGCTGTTGATGATGCTGTTACTGTTTCTGTTTCTGTTGCTGTTCCAGGGCACGCTCGTGCGCACCTTCCTTGCGAGTCGTGAGCAGGTGAGTTGGTGCCATCAGAAGTGTCGCTCGATGTTACTGCTGTTCTGCTGTTGCTGCTGCTTGTGTTGCTGTTGTTGCTGAAAGGGTGCACCTCCTTCCCGTGCGTGTATGTGCGCGTTGCTTGCAGGCATCTGCCAACACATGGGAGAGCCTCGCCATCATCTCGTTCCTTCTCGTCTTTGCCCTCGCAGCAGCTGGCTACGTCTTCAACCACGGTGCGCGCATGATGATATTGTGTGTGTGTGTGTGTGTGTGTGTGTGTGATGTGTAGGAAGGGATGTGAATACATGCGTCCGTGACCCCAGCTTTCTTTGTGCTCTTGTGTCTGTCTGTTCATTGTGCCGGGTTTGTGTTACAGCTGTCGTGTGCTGTATGCAGCAGGCATCATGCAGTGCCCTTGCTTCTTTCTTCTGCCGTGCTCTCACTCACATCATACTCTCGCGTACACACACACACACACACAATCTCACGTGTTTCATCTTCGACTGGTGGTGTTGTTGTTGTTGTTGTTGTTGTTGTTGTTGTTGTTGTTGGTACTGGTGCAGGGCTTGCGACGAAGCGGCCGCTGCACACGCTCATCATCGAGTGTTTGCTCATCATCACATCTGTCATTCCACCGGAACTTCCGCTCCAGCTCTCCCTCGCCATCACAAACGCCCTCAAGGTCAGCAGCGTGCGATTGCATGTGCGCGATTGCATCTGCGTGGGTGTAAACGAGTGGGTGTGCACGGGTGGTCGAAGGTGAACGTGTGCTGTGCGGCTGACGTGGGGCAACACGGGAATGGCGTACTTTCTCGTTTGATCGCTAGTGCAACACGCGCATCCACTTGACACACACACCAGCTGCTCCACACACCAGCTGCACACCTGATTCAGCCACGACCCATGTCCCTGCATGTTTCTCGCCCTCACAACACCTCACGCCCTCACAACAACAACAACACCACCACCACCACCACCGTCAGGCGATGAATGCCAAGTCGATTGCCATCACATGCACAGAGCCGTTTCGCATCCCCATGGCAGGGCGTGCCAGCGTGGTCTGTCTTGATAAGACCGGCACGCTCACGGAGGACAAGGTCAACCTGCAGGGCCTCGTGGTGCCGTGCGACAGCAACATCAGCACTGGTGGCGATGGCAGTCATCGTGATGGTGATGATGATGACGACGAGGATGATGATGACAATGATGATTACGGTGACGAGGGTGCTGGTGGCGGCGCATTGGACTTTAAGCTGTTGCACCCTGTTGACATTCGCATGTCATCCGATCGCAGAGCCGAAATCTTCCTCGCAGCGTGCACAGACGTCGGTGCGTGGCAGTTGGGAGGACCTTGAGCCTGAGCTGACTTTGGGTTGGGGGAGCGGGGTGTCTTTGTGCTGTGTCTGCTGTGTCGTTGTTCGTGGAAGTGCGTCGTGGTTGAGATGATGGTTGCGTGTTGTCATTGACTCGTGGTCGGCGTTAGTGTGCTTGCTTGCACGGCACTGCCACTGCATCAAGTGCGATGTACTGCATGGTCACACTCACCCACACTCACTCACTCACCCACACTCACACACTCACTCACACACACACACACACTCACTCACTCACTCATTCACTCACTCACTCACTCACTCACACACACACACACACTCACTCACACACACACACACACGCAGTTGAGGTTGAGAAAGAGCTGGTTGGTGATCCGCTTGAGCTTGCGGTGCTGACGAGTCTTGGGTGGAGCTGTGTCCGCGACACCGTCGCCCGCCCCTCTGCAAACCTCTCTGCACGCAAGATCCACACCTTCCCCTTCAGCAGGTGCGGTGTTGCGCGTTGCATGTGTGTGTGTGTGTGCGTGTGTGTGTGTATCTGTGTCTGTCTCGCTTTCACATGCGCCCTCTCCCCTGTCACTCCCACCCTCTTACATGTGCTCACTCACTCGCTCGCGCACGCTCACTCGCCCTCGCTCTCCCTATCACCTTCGCCACCACCGCAGCGAGCTGAAGCGCATGTCTGTGGTGTGCACGACTGCGAGCGCGGGCGTGAAAGGCGTCTTTCTGGTGTGCAAGGGCGCAGCGGAGGTGATCAGACCGCGCCTCACCACCGTCCCCAGCGGCTTTGATGAGGTGCGCTATGGGTCGAGCGAGAAGGGAAGAGAGGGGTGGCGGTGTGGTCCATGTGAGCGCACGTGTGTGCAGCAGTTTTGCGCTGCTGCTGCTGTGAGATTGCGACTATGTTGGCTGCAAAGTAGAGGTTGGTGCTTCGTTGAGCATGTTAGCCACACGCTCACTTTAGATCGCTGCTTTTGTTTTGGTGGTTTGGGGCTTTGTTTTGGTGGTTTATTTTGTGGTGTTGCTGTGGTGCCGTTGCAGATGCACAAGCACTATGCACGCGAGGGCAAGCGTGTGCTCGCTCTCGCGTACAAATCTCTGCCTGCTGATATGAAGGTTTGCACTCTGGTGGGAGGGGAGGGGAAAGTGTTGTGGAAGGTATTGCTGTTGATGTTCAGGGTGGTGTATTGTGGAAGTCTCTTGATTGAAGCCGTTGATCTTGCCGCTGCCATAACTAACTCACACACACACACACACCCATCACGCACATCACACCACCCATCACGCATCACGCGTTACGCATTGCGCATCACGTGTCACAGCATAAGGTGCAGCGGCTGAGTCGCGAGGAGGCGGAGAAGGACCTGACGTTTGTTGGATTCATTGTGCTCGGCTCCCCGCTCAAGTCGGACACGCGCAAAGTCATGCGCCAGCTCCTGCGCTCCTCGCACCACCTCGTCATGATCACAGGTGTGCACATGCGTGCGTGTGTGTGTGTGTCTGTGTGTGTGTGTGTCTGTGCGAGGTTCCCAAGACTTCTCACATGGCAATGAGTGGTTCATCTTTCTTGCTCACTTGCCCACTCACCCACCCACTCACCCGCCCACTCACCCACTCACCCACCCACTCACCCACCCACTTGCCCACTCACCCACTCGCACACTGCGTGTCAACACCACTGCGCCGTCAACAGGTGACAGCCCGCTGACGGCGTGCTACGTGGCGCGGCGCGTGCGGATTGCATCACGTCCGCTCCGTGTCATCGATCATGACGCAACCAGCCGACACTTTGTGCACTACCTTGCCGACGACGACGCGAACGCCGGCACCCTGGACGCACTCACCCCGGAGCAGCTGTCCACACTGTTTCAGAACAACGACCTGTGTGTGACGGGCGCTGTTGTGGAGGCGGCGGCAGCAGAACATTCTCTCCCCGACGTCGCACGCTATGCAAAGGTGCGCTGAACAGGCGAGATGGAGATGTGTGGTGTGTGTGTGTGTGTGTGCGTGTGTGTGTGTGTGTGTGTGTGTGTGTGTGTGTGTGTGTGTGTGTGTGTGTGTGTGTGTGTGTGTGTGTGTGTGTGGCATGTGTCTTTGTTTTGAAGTGCGCGATTGTGCGGCTGACTGACACTGCCCATGCTTACCTGTCACTGGTGTCATCTGTCACTGGTTTGACGCGTCCACCACACATCTCACACCCCCACTCACGTTACCTCTCTCCCTTTTGTAACAGGTGTTTGCACGCACGAGCCCCAAGGACAAGTCGCGCATTGTGCGCGCGTATCAGCACCTCGGCCTGTCCGCCGTCATGTGCGGTGATGGCACCAACGACGTGGGCGCGCTCAAGGTCGCAGATGCAGGTCGGTTTGCTGGATGAGGGGGAAGGGGTGTGCTCGTTGGTGAATTAGTGTGTGAGTGTGTGTGTGTGTGTGAGAGAGAGAGAGAGAGTGTGTGTGTGTGTGTGTGAGTGTGTGTGTGTGCCTCCATCCCTCCGTGTCTGTGCCTGTATGTGTCTATGCCTGTATGTGTCTGTGTGTGAGTTGTGTTGATGTGAGTCGCCATCCATGTCCCTGTGTATGTGTATGTGTGTGCACGTCTTGTGTCAGTATGTCTTCAAGTAGTCATCGACCCCTTTCCACTGCGCGGCTAAGCAGCAACGCATCACCACACTCATCCACACGTTCAACACCACCACCACCGCCGCCACCGGTGCTTGCAGGCATTGCGCTGGTCTCTGGCGGGCGGCCGCCCAGGAAAGCGAAGAAAAAGTCGAAAAAGGCGCAGGAGGCGCTGTCCATGCGCGAGAAAGCACTCCTTGACTTTCAGCGAGAGCTTGAGACCATGAACCTGGTGAGACTGTCATCGTGGCTGGCGGGGACGTGGGTGATGCGAGTGGTGATGGTGGTGGTGGTGCGAGTGGTGGTAGTGGTGGTGGTGGTGGTGGTGGGGAATCGCATGCCACTGTTGTTTGCTGATTGATGTTTGTTGTTATGTGTTGTGTGTTGTGTGTGATTTGTTGTTTGTTGTTGCCGTTGTCGTTGGTGATGAAGTTGCCGCAACGGCAGGCACTCTTCTCTCATCATCCTCATTCTCTTCCGTGACACCACACATCACTTTCCCCCTCTCCCGTCCTCTTCTGTCTGCCACCAGGAGGACAGTTTGCCGAAGCTTGGGGACGCCTCGATTGCCGCCGCGTTCACGTCCAAGATTTCGTCATGCAGCTGTGTCACGCATCTCATTCGCCAGGTGCTTGCGCTGACGGTGGTGTCAGTGGAGCTGTCTGCGGCCATGCAGCGAGAGAAGGAGAGGGACTTGCACACCCTTCATGGTCCACACTGACATTGTCTTGTACATCCACGTGCACGCATGATCATGCTGTTTTGTTGCTTCCGCTGGTGTATGCTGCTGCTGCTGCTGCTGCTGTAGGGCCGGGCAACGCTCGTTGTCTCGAATCAGATGATCCAGATTCTTGCCCTCAACTGTCTCATCAACTCATTCTGGTGTGTGCGTGCGTGCGTGCATGTGAGCGTGTGCATTCTTGTGTTTGTGTGCGAATTGTGGTTGTGCGTGTGGTTGTGCGTTCTTGTGTTTGTGCGTGTGTTTGTGCGTGTGCTTGTGCGTTTGCGTTTGCGTTTGCGTTTGCGTGTTTGCTCGAGCTTGATGGCGTGCGTGTCGGCTCACCAATTCTCGCCTCCGTTGACCATTGGTTGCACAGTTTGAGTGTGCTCTACTTGGAAGGCATCAAACTAAGCGACACGCAGGTGAGAACATGGGCTCATGTGTGCTTGTGTGTGTGTGTGTGTGCTTGTGTGTGTGCGTGCTTGTGTGTGACTGTTGAACATGGAAACATGTTGCGCCTCTGTGTTGAATACATATGACATCCCACTCATCGATCGCCACAACCACCACCACCCTGCAACCACCGCCAGATGACGCTGAGCGGGCTGGCGATTGCAATGTCGATGTACTTCGTGTCAGCGTCGCGGCCACAGAAGAAGCTCTCGCCCCAGCGCCCGCGCGCATCAAGCGTCACAGCATACATGTTCGGCTCCGTTCTCCTCCAGGTGACACACGTGGGGGAGCGAGGGTGTGTGTGTGTGGGGGGGGGGGGTTGTTGGTACTCACTTGCGCATGTACTCACATCACAGCAACAGAGGACAGGCAGGCGAACGCCCACCTCCACACACACACACACACACACACATACATGCACACACACACACACACACACACACACATACATGCACACACACTCACCATCACTCACGTCAATACACACGCGCTGCAGTTTGCGTTCCATGTGTACATGCTGCTCTCCGCCATCCGCACAGCTCAGGCCGTGGAGGGGCGCATCCACTTCGATCCAGGTGTACTTGTTTGTGGTGACAGAAACGATGAGGAAGGGGAGTGCATGTTGTGGTGTGGTGGTGAAGGGTGGAGGGGTGTTGATGTGCAATGGGATGGTTGCAGCGTTTCTTCCACCTCCTCGTCGCACGCTCCTCTGAGCTCACGTGCTTTTATGTGTGTGTGTGTGTGTGTGTGTGTGTGTGTGTGTGTGTGTGTGTGTGTGTGTGTGTGTGTGTGTGTGTG